GTGGATAGTCGGAGGTAGGACAAGGTCGTACCTCTTTTCCTGGCAACGGTTTGGTGGAAATCGCCCACTTTGTCACTGGATGGAGTTTTTGTTCTTTTGATCCCGTGAGGTGGGGATCGGTTAGTCAGGTCGAGTGGCGGAGGATGAGAGGGTTCGTCGGTAAGGCGTCGGCGATATCCGAATAAAAGACACCATTAAAAGATCAGTTCGTAATTACGTAATTACGTAATCAGGTTGTAATTTGTAAAGAAAAGTTACTTTTCATAGATGAGATTTCTTCTCAAGAAATATCGGTGAGTAAAGCAGCTACAGCTAAATCGAAAGTAGAGGGTAAGGCCATACAGTAGACTATCCTATAACACTGTAGATATTTCCGTGTTATATGAATTCCATGTTGTACGAGTCACTTAGATTTTACAAATACGTGAGCCGTTCACAGCCCGGCACACGTATTTGTAAATTCTAAGTGACCCCTACAGTGTTATAGGGGTCTACCGTACACGCTGTCATTGCAAAAAGAAGTGTTTCACGAATAAATGCAGTTTAAAAGCGAGGGACTCAAAGTGCCATAACAGTTTAAGTTATTGCAATAAATAATATTGTACAACGTCAATCACATAATTTATGTGTAAGTTTATTATTGTATTATATTCTTTAATGATTAAGAATGCACTGTTCGTTTTAGGTTCAACAGTTTATTTACATGTGCCGTTACTTAAGCTTTCTCCTATTTTGACATATTAACGAGTTTCATTTTTGTCTTAACGTAATAAAAATATTTTTATTGAGCATTCACCATCAGTGAGTGCATGCCGAATGTCGACATTTGCCGGTGTAAGTGAGAAATGATTATATTTAGCAAATATTTCGTACATACACGAAACGACTGTGTGAATGTTGACATTCGCCAGATATCGGTCATTCACAGTAACATATACACAGTTTGAACAAACTTGTAATGCCCTAGAAGAATTTATTTATGTAAGTAACGATAATACAGCGGTATCCGAAGCTAAAAGTCTATTGGATTCAATACAAGAAATGCCATTTATTTTATGTTTAATAGTATGGTTTGCAATGTTGTGTAAAATCAACGCTATCAATATTATTTCAAGCAAAAACAATTATTCTTGAGTCGGCTTTTAATTTAGTCAATAAAATTAAAACTGAAATCCAAAATTTAACACATTTTTAGACGAAGTAAAAGTGCTAGCACGTAATTTGAATATTTCAGAACATTTTCCTGAAAAAGGAAAAGGTTATACTCCGAAATAGCAGATGAAGCTTTAGAAAACCCGGTAGAGGAATTTTAGATGTTATTTTTTTAACACTCTAATTGATACTGTTATTGTACAAATAGAAGATAGATTTAAAAGTATACCAAATATTATTTCTGATTTCAAATTAATCACTGATATGAAAACCTTAGAAAAACATGAATTAGAAAAATGTTCCAAAAACTTTGTAAAGTTTTATAACAAAGATGTAGATGAAAACCTAATCCAGGAAATTGGTTTGCTACGGGATTTGATTTTGAATGAAAGGGATGTAAATAACGCACAAGACATATGCAATACATACTAAATAATAATTATAATGAGTTATTTCTAAATGTATTAAAACTTTTCTTTGCGTTGTCAGTTACTATAGCAAGGGCTGAGCGCTCTTTCGGCAAATTAAAATTAATAAAGAATTATCTTCGATCCAGCATGTGTGCGGAACGCTTAATGCATTTGCTATATTAAGCATGGAAAAAGAAATTAAAAAATTATAATTTTCCTCAAGTAATTCGTGTATTAGCGAGAACAAAATCACGCTTTAAATAAACATGCATTAATATATGTTCGTGTTTGTAATTTTTTTTATTTTACAAAAAATGTAGGGCCCAAATAGTTTCTTGCACCCGGGCCCCTTTATAGAGAAGACCGGCCCTGGCGGCAAAGAACGTTAATCGAATCCCGGGCGAAATTCATTACTTTAAAATTCTACTTGGACATTTATTTTATCGCAGATTTCGACCGGCGAAATTAATTTTAAGCCGAAATTAAGGGGAAAATAAAATTATGGCTTGGTCAAATATTCGATTTCCGCTAGTCCGACGGGAGATGGTCCATCGACTAAAGCTTCGACAGATGGCGCCGGAGTAAGCCGACCGCTTTTCCCGTCTCTTCCTTCCGAATTCCGGAACGAGGGACGACGACGTTTTATTATTACTTCCGGCGGCCCACCGCGCATTAGTACGCCGTTTACCTACGGAAAAAGGAAAATTTAAAACGGTGGCCGAGTAACCGCCGAGAGGGGGCGCCACGGACGGCGGGAGAGACGTGGCGGCCAGGCGGAAGAAGGAAGATTTCGTCTTTGGTCGGTTGGAAGTTATCGGGAGATCGTTGGACGGGGAGGGGGACCCCGGGCAGAAAAGAGGCGAAGGAAGGAGGGTCCCGCATGCATATTTCCGTCGACGTCCGGCCGGGCGGTCGGACGGCCCGCGTCTTGCTGCTGTTGTCGTGGTGCGTGGCGGGGACGGCACCCGGCTCCGGAAACGCCACCGCGGATCCAGGTAGGAACGGCGGACGAAGCCCGCCCGACTGTCGGACGACAACTAACGTGGCTCTTTTCTAACTTTTGGCAGAGAAATGCAAGACTCGCTTTCTGTACGGATCGAAGGGAACGATTTCCAGTCCCGGATATCCGGACTCCTACTCCAACCACACCTCCTGCGACTGGTACATTTTCGGCAAACCCGGACAAGTCGTCACCATCAGGTGATCGCCTTTCTCTTTTATCTTAAGCCGCCCTTTCCGCTTCCTTTAATTAAGCCCGGCAAGGGAAATATCTGGGCATGGGTAAAGATTAAGCTTTAATGTCGAAAGGACGAGGAGAGAGAGGGGTGGTGCGTCGTAGATTATAAATGCTTTGTTCGAAATCATTAGTTAAAAGTGAAGTAGTTAGTCGACAAATAGATAAGGACTTAATATCTTGTAATTTGGAAAATAAACGTTTAGAAATTACATATAGTTAAATATTAACGAATAAAGAATTTTTAAAATTGTTAGATTGGTCACTCGGTGACGTAAGATAAGCTTTCTCTAAGTAACAAATATATATATTTACTTATGGTGCGGTGTTTTATATTTCATTTAAAAAATCAATTTTTTAAAAAACTTCCAGGGTTAGTACCGAATACTCCCGTGGTTTTTTATCCATAACCGCATTTTATCGGAGACAAAAACTACTAAAGATTACAATTGTTAGTCTTTATTACACCGTGCATTTCGGGTGCAAAATTTTGTTTCACTCGCACCTCTCTTCGGGTAATAGGTATCTACCATCGGTAAACGTTACAAAAATGATGTATTACGGCATTCGATGATTTATATTATATCGAACTAACCTCTTACGTTAAAACGCGGCACTCGGCTATATCTACGTCCCACCCTCCAGGCACGGTTCTTTTGTCTATTTACGCGCTATTTTGCCTTTACCGTTTCCGCCCGTACGTCGTCTATCTCCACCCCATTATTTAAGTTAATGGTGTTGCGCGCATTTACAACTCCCAAGTGTTCCTCGAATCTCCGTAAAAGTTTATCTTTTTCTTTGTGGATTATTTTTATATTATTATTTATTATACGTCCCAAACACTTAATACTGTTTTTTAAAATACGTTGGAACTCATTTACACCCGAGGATGGCCTATTCCGGGAGGCCGAAAACGTTAGTGTTTTATTAAATAAACGTTTCTCGGCCACGGAAGGCGTTTAATGTTTTATTAAGTGTTTTAAAAACGCCGAGTTTGATATTTAGTTATTTTACTGTACATCAAATTTATTACAATGATCGGTTGTTTAAAACATTATATAAGTTTACTGTATTTAAATTAGTTCAAAGGGTATAGTACATACTTTTGCATTTGAGTTTCACTGGTTGGAATGTTTTCGTTACTAAAAATAAGTGTCTTATTTAAGTATACCAATAATAATTTTTGTCACACAAATAATTATAAAGCGTAATAAATATACTACTTACTTGGAGTGAGTGACAGGCGGGATACTATTTCCAGATTATTTTCATCTTGGTGTATAAAATGTGAAATTTTTCTTAATGGAGACGTATCGTTAACTGAACTGTAGAAAAAAAATTAAATTGTAAATCGAAAACAAAGCGGGTAGATAGTAGTTTAAATTTTAGTCAAAAAACAGATATTAATGAAAGAATAATAAACCCGCAGCTATACAGTATTTTATAACTAAAAGCATTTACTGTATTTTAAATTTTCTTAGAAATGCGTTTTTAAGGGGCAATTTTTTCCATAGATAATTGATTTAATATTCCGATAAAATCGTCTGTAGATAGGCTACTAAATATCTAGGTATCGTCAATTAATGAAACTGTGACATCGCACATTCACTCGTAGAATCCACGAGATCATATAAACGTCTCTCGTCCCGCTACCACTGGCGAATTGTAACCCGCTTCATTTCCTATTTAAACGATTCCACTTTAGGAGTTCGATGCAATATATCAAACTTTCTTACCATTCGATCCAAATTTCACGGCTATCGCACTCCGTATCGCGCGTTTCGACCCTATATCTTTAAATTCTTTACATTTCTTGTCGTATAAACACCCGCACGTTCTGACTTCTTCAATAAGTAATTCCAAATCTACTGGCTTTCTCGTTCTCTTAGCTAAACTTTCCGCCATTACGACTATAGCCTGGACTCCGCATTACCTGAAAACGGAAACTCAGAAACAGAAATGAAACATATAGAGATTTATTTCAGTTATGTTTTCGTTTTAACTGGACACCACTACAAATGCGCCTTCCGTTGATCAGTTCTGTAATTGTCGTAGAGTCAAATATGGACGACGCTACGGATTTTGCCACGATTTCTCTGCATTTATTAACAATGAAATTGTTTAATAAATAAAAAGACAGTCAATTGTAAAAAATTTTTTGTTAAAACTTTGGTCGATCACCTTTTATTTCCGTTAAAATTTCAGGATAAACTTCAACGACCGGACCTTCCTTTTTAGGCTACACGGTCGCCTATAAAACAGTCCTTTAAAGACGTCGAAAGATCACCAATTTCAGTTTTTTACAACTTTTTTTACAAGTTTTAGTGCTTAAATTGGATTATTTCTGTATTTTAAAGGACTGTTTTATAGGCGACCGTGTAGCCTAAAAAGGAAGGTCCGGTCGTTGAAGTTTATCCTGAAATTTTAACGGAAATAAAAGGTGATCGACCAAAGTTTTAACAAAAATTTTTTACAATTGACTGTCTTTTTATTTATTGAAAAATTTTTACATTCAGCGAAATTTTTAAAAGTGAAATTGTTAATAATCTTTGAATTATTTACATTTTTTGTCGTACAGACGTGTGTATTTTCTAACTTCTGATGAAGAATTCGAATCTATTTGTTTCCTCGTCGTTTTCGCTACACTTTCTGCCATTACGACAATCAAACTACGCGTCACAAATCCTCGCGTTTTTATTGGTTGCGGTACGACAGAAGCGCGGAACGAAAACGGAAAAGTTAAATAATTTTTAACCCCGCTTTCGTTCTCGTTTATGTCCAACCGAACGTTACAAAACTGAAAGTTCCGTCGGTTTGGCTTTCGGTTTTACGATTACGTGGCGGATTCCGGCAGTCCCGAGTTGCCTTCCTGTTTCACCTATGTAAATTACTGGTCCATTGCGCGTACATTTTAGCTGGTACGCGACACCTACTTGGTCTAGTTTTTCTTTATTTTTTTAGATTGGCTGCTAGTGCCACTCCGTATTCCTCGTATGTACGGTACCTTTAATATAAGGGAATGACGTACTGTACATATGTTATCCTCTTTTTTATTTTTAACATCAAATCTGTTTTTTATAAATTCCGTTGTCCATTTCTTAATAGTCTACTGGGGTAATTGGTATTTATTAATTAATTTCGTTGTTTTTTTCTGCCTTAGATGTTCTGTAACAAAATTTTCTCTCTCAATTGTTATGGGACAATACGATTTGTAGTTTAGATTTTTATCCATATTGCGAGTTTTTATAGGGTTTTATATTAAGAACGTTTTTCCCGCGGTTTATAGTTATGTCCAGATAATTAACTTCATTTTTACTTTCAAATTTTAAAGTATTGCTTAGTATATTCGCATATTTGCGTATTATATTTTCATATAGTTATTAACGTGTCGTATATTATTGTAATGTCATCCACGTATCTATTAATAGCTACAAATACTATTCCTTTTAAGTTTGCTAATTTTTTGTCTACCTCTATCGCGCGTATTTCGGCAAGTTTTGGGCCAATTACCGCACCCATTTTTTTGTCTATATTTTTCATCGATACGAAAGTAATTATTCGCAAAACTATATTTTATTAATTCTAGTAACCAGTTATATATGTCTAGATTAAGTAGGTTTTTTTCAATAAATTCCCACTTTACTGACGGGTACGTAGAGACTACGTGTTGACTTGCGTCAATTTACTTAATAATTCATCGGTGTTTTTAATGAATAATTTGAATAGGGGACTATTTTTAGTTTTTTCTTAGTAAATAATTGTAAATTGTATAATAGTGTGTTTAAAATCTGCTAATGGTCACGTATATCATCCGCTTTGTGTTTTCAGACGGATTTTGAGTTGTGCTTTTCTAATGTCATTATAGTTGAGCATTTGTTTTCTCTTTTCCCTGTTTGTATAATTTTCTGATTTCTCTTTTTATTTCTTCTTTTGGATCTTCGGTTCGTTCTATAAAATCATTCCTCATTAACAATGATGATTTGCTTTGATTATAATTAAATTATTTTTCTTTAAATATTTTTCATTATTACGCACTTTTTTGAATAATTTTTCCGTCCCTTTCTGTTAACATTATCTCACTTATTGCTGTTTTCTAATTTTTTAATGTCACTTTTTTGGTGGTCTATTCCCTTCTATTCCTTCGTTTTATTTGATTTACCGCTTTATCAATTTCGGATACTACATTAATAGCTTTATCATTTAGGGCATATTGTGTTCTATTCCTAGTTGCGGGATATTTGTTATTAATTTCGGTATTTTTTACTTGTCTTATTAACTATTGGCTTACTTTCCCATTTTCTTTTTTCACTCGGCGTTGAATATCCGAATAGTTTTTGTAGTTTCTGATCTTTTCTTTCCTTATATTGCCAGTCGGTAATTTCTTCAACTGGTTCTGTATTTCCTCGTAATCTTCGTATCTGCCGTTTCAGTGGGAGGAGTTTTTAGTTTTGAATTTTATTGCAGCTTTTACCATTTGTTTCTCCGTCTCCCTCTAAAGAGATAAGCTTTCTCGTTATATAAATCAAATACTACGATATGACAAACATTAAAACGAAAACTATATAAAGAGTGCGGTTATTTCGGCCTGTCGTCGTCACGTTTACGCCATACTCGGATGGTACGAAATGGTACGATTTCATCGGTCTAATCGACAGCGATTGAAAATACATGTTAAATTTTTCAGATATCCTTTTTTTCTAATGTTAACTCTAAGAAACTACCATTTCGCAGCTAAATATCAAATTGTAATCTGCCAAGGAATGAAACTGGGCAAAAAGTGGACCAAATATTTAGACTCGGCACCCTCAGAAACCACTTGTATCATATTTTGTTCAATTGTATTACGTAATTTTCCTATTCTCTCGTTCCTGGATAAAGTCCATCCGTATGACGTATCGATGTATTCCAGGTGGTAGTCGTTCCGTTCGATATCTTTAAAATTATACACTATCGGACACCAACCTTTCGGGAAAAGATAAATTTGCTGTTTTGTATAATCGACTCTGACTCATTTGTGTAAATCGTTGCAAAAAAAATTAAGGGGAAAAAATTAATAGGCTAATACACTCGCGTACAATTTTCAATTTTTTAAATGCCGCGACTAAACTTTTTTTAAATATTTAATAAAATTTTGACTGGAAAATAATTGTAAACTAGATTTACGTACACACATAATATTAGAGAAAAATTTAACCACTTGTTTTCTGCCGATTTCGAATAGTAATATTCAATTACTATTTGCGGATTCTTGGGGTTCCGCCAAGATACTTATAAGAAATTTTATTAATCATTTTGTTGCTTAGAAAATAAACACGACATTCGACTTTATTTTTTTAAATTTATAACTTAAAATGTCACAATAGTTGTCGAGCGTGGTAAAAGTTTGAAGATTTAGAAATACAGTACAATGACAAAAGTACATTAAATGCAAGCGTTTCGTTGTTAATTAAACTTGCATCTGTTTTCTGAATTTTTCCCATGTAGAAAGTACTGTATTCGTTTGTCTATTTGTAATTTATTTTGTATACTAGTACTTTCTATGTATTAACAGGACTTATTATACTGGGAATTTATGGATGCAGATATTTAGTCTTACAGTTCATAAATAATGTTTTTTATTTCAGGTGAACTAAATAAAAAACATTATTTATGAACTGTAGGACTAAATATCTGCATCCATAAATTCCCAGTATAATAAGTCCTGTTAATACATAGAAAGTACTAGTATACAAAATAAATTATAAATAGATAAAAAAAAGGACAAAAAGGCATAATAATTAAGTATTCGTTTGTCGTTTGTTCGGGCAGGGAATAAAAAGCATTTTCATTTTACAGTTAATCGATATTCGCTTTTAAAGCAGTTTCGACTGTGTCATTGTAAGTGCCAATATTCAATATTCTAAATAATTTAAATTAATAATAGCCATGCCAATATTTTAAACAGTATGCATTTCATAATAATAAAGAAAACACCTTTTTTTGCCGAGAAATAAATATAATTTGCAAAAACAAACGTTTTCAGCCTAGTTAATAGTATGCATACTAGTTATAGATACTAGTATGCATTTCGCATTACTAGTATCTATTTTCTTTTTACCTCTCCCAATGATTGGTAAATGATCTTACGGTTACGGAGTTTATAAGTGAAAATTCATTAACGGTCTATTACTGGGCCACGGGCCTTGATATACGCTATCTGGGACAGAGGGGACTTATTCCCTCCCGTATTTTTGCAGCGGAAAATTGTTTCCTTTTGCAATGAGCATATATCGTAAGACAAAAATTAAAAATAGAAACCTGTACTGTATGCAACGAATACACCTTATTTTGAGTATCAAAATTTCCCCCCCAACGGATTCGTGTACATCAGTGTTTATCAACCTCTAACGAATCGTCGCCCCCTTCAATAAAACCGTTACGTAGTATCGCCTCCTTCACTACAAAATTCCGATGCCGAGGGCCAAGGCTAACGCCAAATTCGTACTGCATAGAATAGACTAGTGACTAGTAATGTTGTTTGTTTGATTATTGTACGATATAACGAATAAAATATCTAATTATTCTTAATATAATGTTTTACTATATCGCCCAGAAAATTGTTTTTCGCCCCCAAAATATAAATTGTTACTAATCGCCCCCTCAACACGGAAAAACGCCCACATGGGGGCGATATCGCNAATATCTAATTATTCTTAATATAATGTTTTACTATATCGCCCAGAAAATTGTTTTTCGCCCCCAAAATATAAATTGTTACTAATCGCCCCCTCAACACGGAAAAACGCCCACATGGGGGCGATATCGTCCCGTTGAGAAACACTGGTGTAGATGACCGACATCCGGAGGATGAATACAGGGAAGGCTTATGGGAACTGGACTATTTACCTTCGTAACACGCTATTTAGGTGTTACTAACGTGAAGAAAACCCCGACCCGCGACTAACTACCAGAGTTCGGTGGTTTTATCCACTGGGATACCGGAGGGCGCTTATTAGAATAAGAAAGTAGCGTTCAGAAATGAAAACCCGAGTGGTTAGATGCGCAAAATGAAATAATTGTAGATTTTTCACAGCGTAACACTTTCGATTGCACGCAGGCGAGTGCTACNATCCACTGGGATACCGGAGGGCGCTTATTAGAATAAGAAAGTAGCGTTCAGAAATGAAAACCCGAGTGGTTAGATGCGCAAAATGAAATAATTGTAGATTTTTCACAGCGTAACACTTTCGATTGCACGCAGGCGAGTGCTACGGGCTACCCGTCGCAGTAATTAAGTCAATACGATATAATATCATTGTTAAATTATATCCTTTTTTATAAGAATTATATTTAGTTTATTATTTTGTTAAATTTTATTTGTCAACTAGCTGCAAGGACCCGCTTCGCTGGGCAAAAAGTAACGATAGTGAAGATTAAGATAATTACATTATAGCTAATCTTACCCGTTTTCACAGAATGCAAGAATTAGGTCCCCCGTTTCCAGACTAATTACAGACCTGTACTCGATTATATTTCTTAACGTCTCCTGTTCACGTCCAGTCAAACGAACTATTTTCAACGTTTCTGGAACGTTTACAATCGTTCTATAATCGAACCAATATTAGAATTTTATGTTCGAATTTAATTCGAACAAATTCGAACATAACATTCGTACTGTAATAGAAAACCACTTTCAACCACTTTCAGCCTCATATCTCCCGCACCCTTATAGCTATCGAGACGCAACCACCCCTATGCACGAATGGAGACTCGGGGCTACTACCACGTACAAACACCATTCACGTGCGATGTGTAGTTTTTGCGGAAAAGTGAAATGTAGGGACATACACGTCCATTTATATATATAGATATAGATATATATAGATAGATAGCGGTAGGTGTAAATCAGCAACTCGAATGTAGATAGGAATTAATTGATTTACAGAAATCCAATAGAAATTTGGAGTGGGATTATCTAAGAAGTATGCGAGCGTAACTTCCGATTTTGGTAACAGTTGGTCGAACGGCCTAGGAGTGTACAGACAACACCCCTCATCTATATATGTAGATAACAACACAAGTGTTTACAGTGTACCGGTATATCACAAATCGTACCGATTAAACTGTCTACGCGAAAAGACCGACTGACGTATGAAAAAGTCATTCATTTCTAAGTAATCTAAAAATTTAACTGGCGTTTATTTTTAACTAATACGCTACAAATTACCGATAAAGCAATGGTAATAACGACTAGAAATACCACAAATCGAGTCCCGCCATTGGCGCTGTTCTCCGTGGCGGCATAGTTTACCTTTTCCCTACCGAACGCTAACCGTACGAAAGGTGACCGGGCGGAAAAAGGCGCCTCCCCCGCCGTTCGGCCGGAATGTGGGTGGAAAATTTCGGCTCGGGGGTAGGAAAGTCGGTAACCTAACGGGGTAAATTTTAAAGGTGGGAAGGAAAATTTGTTTTCTTTTATAAATTGGTAATTTGTGGATTACAGTTTCGACCAGGTGGACATAGAGGAGGACCGGTCCTGCGGGAATCCGCCCTGTTGCAACTACAACTGGTTAAAAATCGGATCCAAGTTCAACGCTAAAGGAAGAAGGTACTGCGGACAGAAGGGTACGACGCCGCCCCCTTTCTTCTCCGTCGGCAGTCGAGTCTGGATCAAATTTCACGTGTCCAACGTGGCCAGAGGCGGCAGGGGATTTCGGCTTTCCTACATCATAAGTAAGTGGCTAGAACGTTCCTTTAAATGGAGCCGCGAGAAAGGGGGTGGCCGGCGGCGCCAAAAAAGCAAATTTTACCGGCTGAAATAGGCCGGGAATTTCGTTTTGGCGGCTCGGGTAATTCCGCCTTTTCCTAGTAAAAATCACCCGCCGAGAACGTTTTCGAAGATCGATGGGTGGGTGCGAAAGAGTTACGTAACGGATCTCGGCCGAGGAAGTAAGGAGATTCGGGTTCTTTTCGAATTTCGGCCTCGGTCTCGTCGAGCCACTTTCGATCGCCGGTCTCGGACCGAAAAACGCCATCGCTGGTCTTACCGTTCAGATATAGAGAGCGCTCGGGTGCGCGGCGGTGCCGCCAAACCGAGCGAGAACCCGGCCTTTCTCCGCCTTAGTTTCTCGACTGGCCACATGGGGCCGTTATTCGGCCCAACAAAAACCGCCCGCCGCCCAGGAAAACGGGAGTGAAACTAGCGCGCTACGCAAAGCTCTCTGGCAAACGGCTGCCAGCTTCCGGTCCGGGCGGATTTTCTGTCCGAACTTCCGGCGACGAGAGTACCCCCAAGACGCCAAACGTATTATTGCTTTTGAAAAAGCCGGCGTGCCACCGGGAGCGCGGTTTGTTTTTTCCTTTCTTTTTTATTTACCACAAAAATGTTCTTAACCCATGGCCGGGCGGGCGGACCGGTAAAAAGACCTCCGCCGGCCGGGCTTTTGTTTTTGACCGTTCCGGACGTTTCCTTAATTAGCCTGCCATTTAATAGTGGCGGGCGCGGAAGATAAAAGTGTTTGAAAAGGGCCTTTTTTTTCAGGTTCCAAGCGGGCGGAGTCTTGCGGGGAAGACGAATTTCACTGTTCCGATTCCGGCTGCATCCTGAGTCGGTGGCGGTGTAACCGCTTCAACGAGTGCAGGGACGGCTCCGACGAGAGGTTCTGTCCGGGTAAGCCTTTTTTCTACGCTCGGGCCAACGAGTTGAAAAACGCGCGCTACTTGGCCCCGGAAGACGATATAGTTCCGTGGCGAAAATTCAATAATAAATGTCGGGTCGTAGCCGGAGACTTATTATTTATGGGCTTGGACGGTGGTGGGACGACGATAGCGGTAGAAGCGCGGATGCGGCATTTCCACCGCCGGACGACCGGAGGCGGAAGAAGGCTTCTTGGCCGTTGGACGCCCGGCAGGGTAATTACGAAATTAATAAAAGGTGGAGCCCGAGGCCGGCTTCCGGGGAGTCGAGGGCAGATTCTACGTATTTAGCAGACGGGAGGTGTTATCCTCCTCTTTATTATCGGACGGATGGGAAGTTTATTCGGCCGACTAATCGGGCTACGGCCGGTTTTCGAAAAACTGGGATAACGGGCGACGACAGCGGGTCTTTTCCTCGGCCTTAAATTGCGGACCAATTTGCCAATTATCGTGCCTTTTTTGCAGACAAATGTCCGGACGACTTTCTCCGCTGCCGCTCGGGCGCCGGCTGTTACTCGGCCGAGGGACACTGCGACGGAAAGGCCGACTGCCCGGACCTGAGCGACGAACTGGACTGCGCCTTCTGCGGCCGGAACCGGGTCCGCTGCGGACCGGGCTCCCTGCGGTGTTACCATCCCTCCGCCCAGAGATGCGACAGGTAAACTCTCTTCCGCGCCGGTCGAAAATTCCAAATAATAATAATAATAAAACGGGCGGAATCCGCGTTAATTCCGAGTCGGGACGCGAGGGGGAGTGGCGGTAACGGACGAGTATATTTCGCCCCGGGTACCTGGCCCTCCAAATACCGCCGCGGCGGAATTAAGATGATAAAAACGGAAGGGCGCGCGGTGGGTGGTGGGACGATTCTAGCGGGACTTAATTATGTAGGCTAGTGAAATTTCTTTTTATAATAAAAGATTTTTAATGAAATATACATGGACTAAAAACGTACAGTATTGCGCGTATCGAGTCACATTCGGAGTTTGACTGGGAGACAATAGCCGGGTCGAGGCTTGGCCTTTCAAAGGCGAAAACGTTGGGCGCCGCTTTATCGTAAGCCTAGAAGTTGGACGACGGCGTTGGGAATGTCGAGCGCGTTTCCGCCGACTATCCAAACGCCGTGGTCAAACTTGTAGGCTTACGATAAAGCGGCGCCCAACGTTTTCGCCTTTGAAAGGCCAAGCCTGGACCCGGCTAACGCTTTCCCGTATAGTACACTGTTATTTTAAAGTAATGGTATTAGACGCATAAATTGAAATATTATTTTGATCCGGGTATTAAAACTTTGTGAAGAGTGATGGCATTGGATAGCCGGGATAAGCCGCCTTACTTTTTCCACATAATCTTAATTTTATCTCGGCGACGTAAATCATTTTATTCGATTCCTCCAACTTTTCTCGTTTTTGCGGTGTCGCGCCGCTGGCATTAGTTTGTGGCAAATCGACATTTTCCATAATTTTCCGATTTGTAGAAAAATGTTTGATATTTCGATGACGTCTTTTCCGTCTTTGACTTAGACCGATGGAAAAAGAAGAGACGTTTGTTAAATGAAACCTTTCTTTAATGTAGTCTACGATAACTCGGATGACCCGCTTATCCTTTTATCTTTTTCGTTTAGTTTTTCAAAAAGTTCCCTCCCGCTAACTACGGCCCACGCCCCGCCAAACAAATAATGGTTATACCTCCAAATCCGCGCCTTTCCGCCAACGGATATCCGTTAGACGTAATTAATCCGGACAAAATGAAATTAAAACGTAGAAAAAAGATGCTCAAGTTCTTTAAAATAAAGTGTAAAAATCCCTCGGGTTTACTACATCAGTTCGGAAATACGTTACGTTACCGTTAACCCAGCGGTAACGCCGCCTCGACCAGTATTTTCCGTAACTTTGTCTGTCGTCCGGATATTTTTCTCTCCCTTCCTATCTGCCTTTTTCGCTTCTCGGCTCGACCCGGGCTTTCCGGAAAAAAGTTGTCCGTTTTCCGGGTTATAATTAATTATTTTTCGTTCCTTTAATTTAAGTAATTTAATACGTCCCGACCTCCAAAATAATAAGTATTAAAACTTAGCTGGGAATTACCTAGAAATATTCGCAAATAGAAAAATTTCAAGTCACTTCCAATCGAGCTTCTAACTCGGTTTTCAAATAAAACGTAATACAAAACATTATACATTTTTATAAGATTTTAAAAAGCCAAAGTCGCTCAGTCCATCCCGTTGTTATTTACAGTATCGATTATCCGACTCAATCGGATAACCGAAAAGAAGGAAAAAAACACCTTATTAGTATAGTAGTACATTCGGATATTAATATATCCTACGTAATTACTTTATTAGTATATCGCTATTAATTAATCAACTTTGTCTCGAGTTTACATCAATTTTTTTTTTAAAATAATAATCGTCGCTGTCGTACCGTTAAAAATTATTTTAAAATTATTTTATCGATTATCCGACTCAATCGGATAACCGAAAAGAAGGAAAAAAACACCTTATTAGTATAGTAGTACATTCGGATATTAATATATCCTACGTAATTACTTTATTAGTATATCGCTATTAATTAATCAACTTTGTCTCGAGTTTACATCAATTTTTTTTTTTAAATAATAATCGTCGCTGTCGTACCGTTAAAAATTATTTTAAAATTATTTTATCGCTCGCGAAACAAACGACCACTCGTAATTACAAAATTAAGTCTGGTTTAAATACCGGCCTCCCTTTCGTCATCGAGCCGCGTTGCCACCTAAAACACGCAAAAATTTAACAAAATTAATATTAAAATAGCCGAGACGTAGCCAAATATTCTAATGCCGCGTGGCTAGCGGACGTTTGAAATTTGCCGACTAGAACGGTGGGTTAACCGATGCGACGGTTAATCGGGCATCGGATAATCGATGCTCTACCGTACTTCTTTAGCCGTCTCGTATTCTCCATTAGGCCGAGACTCCGCTAGCGTTAAAACGGGCGTAAAACCCTGGCCGTAAAAGCTTTTAATCGCGTGACCGCCATATTTTACGCCCGATCGGCGTAAAAGCCAGTTTCGACGCGAAGACGGCGGTAAAACGGTACCATCCGCCAATCCGAAGTGGGCGAAATCTAGGTGATGGCCACGCGGTGCGAAAATGGCGGAAAAGCAGCTTCCGCCTACGTTCTCCGATGGCTACTCTAGAGCGAAAACGTCCGAAAGTACTTATTAAAATTAATGGGCTTAAGTGGTTAATCTGAATTTAAATTATTCGAGAAAATTTTTTCTAAACAATATTTTAAAGTCCGAAAGTACGACAAGAAGTATCCCGATAGAGAAACCTCTTTTCTCCGGCAAATCGACGGGTTAGACTCACTTACGCGTCATCGGCAAAATCGAATTCGAACCCGTTGTTTGCCCGCCGATCCAAAAAAATAATCGAAAGCAAAGAATTCCGTTTATCGGTTTCTCTCACCGGACTATCCGAAAGACTCTTCTCGGATTTTTACATTCGTACCGTAGATCGAGAACAGGCGCTTTCCGTAATTTCCCTCCTACGCGCGTAGATTTAAGGAGGGCGTTTTTAAAAGACCGCGGTTCAGTTTGACGTTATCGGTATTGAACCGTTGCAGGGTGACGGACTGCGAGAACGGAGAGGACGAGAAGGGTTGCTTCGGCTGCGGAGACAAGATGGCCTGTTCTTCCGGAAGGGGCTGCTACTCCGGGGTGCAGCGGTGCAACGGGGTGGCCGAGTGCGGCGACGACTCCGACGAGATCAACTGCGGTGAGCTTCTTTTCTTTTTTTCCTTCCACCCGCCTCTTTCCCGCCGGACCCAGGCCGCGCCTTTCTTTTCCAGGACCCGAGCGCTGCAAGTCGGACGGGGGAGGCTTCCTGTGCGCCAACGGACGCTGCATCCGAGAGATTTGGAAGTGCGACCGGACGGACGACTGCGGCGACGGCTCCGACGAACGAAACTGTAAGCCACTTCGTCCCCCGCCCGGCGGTGGGCGGCCCCCGGGCTTCCTTTCCAAATACGCGGATATTCCCGTCCGGGGACCGCCCCCCGCTGCTTTTCTTCCCGCTTTAGTTACGTTGGGCGGAAGCGTCGGTAGCCGAGGCCTTCTTCCTCCGGCGGAGGAAAGTCGTCGGCCGTTTTTGTCCGGCGCCCGAGGAAGTTGTTTGGTCCGCGGACTACTTGTTCCTTTTCTTTGCAGGTCTGAAGAACAGCGTGGTGTCGGCAGCGGTGATGGGTTCTCTGGTGTGCGGCCTGCTGCTGGTGGTGGCCGTGGGCTGCACCTGTCGCCTCTATTCCCTCAGACTGGTGGAACGTCGCGCCCTCGACCGGGAGACCCAGATGTCGCGCTTCCTGCCGGAGGCGGTCCATCCCGAACCGCCACCTTCCTACGCCTCTTCGGTGGGCTGGTACGGCCCCCGCCCTCCCGGCCGCCGGGTTCCGCCTCCGCCTCCTTCGGGAAGAAGGGCCGGGTCGGGGCGGCGCCGGCCCCGTCCCGCCTCTCCGCCCGGCCACCCGGGCAGGGAAGAGGAAGGGGCTTCGGTTCTGGCCGGTCACCCCGCCCGCCGGGAGGAGGCCAAGGGTTGTCCCCGCCGCCCGGCCCGGACGGAGGAGGAGGAGGAAGAGGGCGAAACGGCCGACTGGGACTACGGGTCGGAAGACGGACGGCCTCTGATGGCCGAGAGGTTTTGAGGTTATTTATAGAAGAGAAGCCATTTTATATTTGTATATATTTTAATAAAGCAGAGTTTATATTTATTTTCTTATTCCCGAAAGATTTATCGAACGGTTCCGTTCTTTCTCCCACCGCCTCTTAAATTTCCTACCGCCGACGATTTTTGGAGGCGCGGCGCGGATCCCGGACGGTTTACGGTATTTTCGGAAAGAAACGGACCGGAGGAAACCTCAGGGCGTCCGACGGTACGTACCGTACGTTGGGTCGGAGTGAGAGTAAACGGCGCGGCCGCCATTAGTGCGCGAGTGTTCTACCGGAAACGGCCGGGGCCAAAGAAAATGCGTGTAGGATAATCCGACGTACTTAAGCCGGGGGAAGCGGCGACGGGGGTGCCGGCGTATTCCGTCCCCGCTTATTGCCGGAAGGTTGGTAAACTTTTCACTGGCCGCCGACTAATGTGTAGAAATCGGCAGAATTGCCGATTTCTACACATTAGTCGGCGGAAAAAACAGAAAAGAAAAGTATGGGGAGAAAAGATGAAAGGATGCTGTTCGGCATCCTTTCGTCTTTTCTCCCCATACTTTTCTATTACTTCNCGATTTCTACACATTAGTCGGCGGAAAAAACAGAAAAGAAAAGTATGGGGAGAAAAGATGAAAGGATGCTGTTCGGCATCCTTTCGTCTTTTCTCCCCATACTTTTCTATTACTTCCGCTTTTTGTAAAGATAAATACGACCGTCCTCCGTAAAACATGTACGTTATCTTTAGTCTCTATGTACTGTACTGTACAGTTTAGTCTTTACAGGGGAGGCGCCACCCGACAACCTTGGCTATGATCGACGAAGATAATCATCACACTGCCAGAAGTTCATTTACAGATAAAGTCAGAAGGATTTTTAGGCCATCCAACAGAGGCATTGTATACTTTTCAACAGAATAACGCGCACTTTATGATAACCAATGAGGTTTTGAACAATGGTCGCTCGAACGGTTTGCAAATTGGTTACGAACTCGCTTCACTAACTACATGGCTTACAGGCACGGCCGGCGCTACAGTATGGGGAAACTGGGCATTTGCCCGGGGTGGTCTAAACAAATGTTCATAAATTTATGCAAAATTTCGGGCGTATTTTTTAATAGTTTTAATTTGTATTTATAATAAAAGGTGCCAATGAAATATTAGTTGACGGAGCAAGGTATGGTACGACATTTAAATACGAAATGTTTTTCATTTTATGTAGATGGATAAGGGGCGGCAAATCAGTGAAACTGCGTTAATTTGTTCGCTAGACTCGCTGATTGCCGAGTTTTACCACAGTCGCTATACCGGTCCTCCAACTGCCAATAGCTCTAACGCCACCAAAGTGGCGTAATAAATTTTTCTGCCACTTGGAGCGCTGCGGCGGAAGATCGCATAAACAAATACAGTGGGTGATCGGTTAACGAAAAGTTCGGATAACGAACACAAGAAGCGACGTAAAATACCGATTGGTCTTCGGGCAACGATTGGAAACTTTTCGGAGCGCGGGAGACGTCGACCCGGTATATACCGATCGGAAAGTATTCCCTCGAAATTCCAGCCTTTTATTTTTCTGACGGAAACAATTCTTTTATAATATTCGCCAGCACTCGTTAAGTTTGGCCCGGGTTTTTATTTTCGAAAGGCGAGAGTACAATTGTATTCGTCTTCTCGTTCATATGGAAATACCCGAGAGTACAATAGTCGAGGTAGAGTGGGCGGAAGACGTCCGACGTTGCCGGGCAGTACGGCTCGAACGGATCTACAGGTAGGCCGCGGTTCGATCTTATCTGCTAAAGATACAGTGTAATGGAGAAGACTCGAAAGACTAAAGGAGTAACAAAAATCATATCTGAGAAGTAAAGAGCATCGAAGAGCTCGTAATGGAAACCGGAAAAAGAGGATTAACGCCGACATCCGCTATTAAAGATCTTCCGAAGAAGCTCGGAGGATGTCGGAACGGATTACTTCGAAGAAGAGACTTCGGAAGAAATTACTTCCGAAGAAGAGAGAGAAGCCATGGACGTTAGACGGATTCTTTAATCCCACAAACGGAAAAATGCCAGACTGCGTATATATGTTTTTATTATTACGTATAAATAAACATAGTGAAAAAGTATATATATTTTTTTATTTTTGGAGTCTCCGGGACGAATTAATGAAATTGCCATAAAAACCTATGGTAAATCGATAACGGTTAACGAACAAAGTGTTGGAACGGATTATGTTCGTTAACCGATCACCCGCTGTATTGTATATACTAAAATAGCTGATTAGAAATCCCTTTAAAACACACACGATCGAAACAAACGAGCATTCGGTTATAATCGAGCAGATAAAATGAATCAGAAACTATCAAATTTCTAATTTCAAACACAATTTAACAACTTTAGTTATTTTAATAAACTTACTTTCAGTTGGCCAAACACTTATCTTGAAAAGACCACTTTCGTTAATTATCAGTTTCGTCTCTCAAATAATCACATTCGAACAAAAAATGCTCCGATGTATCCACGTGGCTCTCGACCGACGGTTTTTGCCGAAATTCTCCTTGTCCACTCGACGACTGGCTATTATAATAATTCGATTCGATCCAATCTTTGTTCCACTGTAGGGATAAACGTCGATGTTATTCTACCCTTAACTTCCATATCCCGTCTACTCTGCCCCTACGCTAATAATTCTTTCTTTATATTATACTTAATAGTTTTTTCCCCTTATTTTACTAAAATAATACCATTTCTATATCGATCGGTAAACAATTAGTCGATATTTGGAGAGCGGGAGTAGTTATTGCTCTATATCCTTTTGACGTCATTATCGACGCAACTCTTTGAGTTTTCGTAAACCTATCTAGATAATATTTTTTAATAGAGTTCCGCCATATTCCGGGGGTGGGTAAGCGCCAGTTCGGTGGGAGGTTTTGCGAATTGCGTGGGAGCCGTAGTTCTCTACTTTTTTATTCTGTACCGCCATTTTATTATATAATATAAAAATAATATAAAACAAATATTGAATTTTTTAAATAAATTGTGGAAATAATATTGTAAAAATAATAATAAAAAGCAGAAATTAACGCTTTCGGCCTCGTCTGCCATATACCAATATTGATATCGCTAATCCTCTATAAATAATTTCGATAACTTCGTTTTTTCCCCGCAACGGTTCTAAGTCCGTAAAAACAATACACGTATTCAACATGTGGAGTAATACTTAAGCATTCTCTATTACGTATACGCGATTACTTTATAAATGTACTACGAATGTATACGTCTCTTTAATCGGAATGACTATTAAGTTCGGTAGACTATCGTTACAGCTTTCGGGTTAGTTATGTATTATTATTAGTATGTATTCTCTTAAAAATGTTTTTAATATTACTATACTACGTGTAATTCACCTGTAAAATGGTTATTATAATTACAGTTACTCCAAAGTTATGTTGTAGAAAATACACATTCTTTAAAAGATGCTCATAAAATATAAGTACTGTATATCTGTTGAAAAATATAAAAGTGGGTATGTATTGTATTGTATTGTTATTTTATTAGAATACGTGATGTTATTGAAGGAAAAAAAATTATAAAAATATTAATAGGGTTTCCTTATGAATGTTTGGAAAGGGTATTTTTGGTGTTTTTAACGGCTGTATTGAAGAATCTTTCCAATGTTACCCGTTATACACCGTGTATAACGGGTAACCATATGTATAAGTTTGACAATTTTAAGTATGATAGTTTTATGTCAGTAAATATGACCTACACGCGAGAAATTGTCACGTTACTAATTTGTAGTATTGCACTGAAGAGGGGCTTAGCATTTATATAAACCCGAAATGCGTATGAGAAAATCAAGTGTCTAACCCGAAAGCTGTAACGATAGTCTACCGAACTTAATAGTCATTCGGATTAAAGAGACATACATTGATAGAACGTAATAACAGCTACCATAAGTGATATTTACAAGTATTTTATAAATGTAACTTATTCAATTTAATAACGGGCGGTCGTGTTTTGCCAGACGCCTTTTCAATAACATACGCATACAATACTCCGCAGACAAAACTATCTTATTAGACTTCAACCGTTCATTAAGAATCTTTAGAGCAGATTGCGACTTTTCCTCTAATTTCCTACGGCTATCCGCGGGTATCGACGACACCAAACCGTCTGCATACGCGGGACGAACGATTCCGAAGTTTCTCGATATGGGCAAACATCCATCAAAAAATAAATTTCACGATAAAGTCCCGGGACCGAACCCCGAGGACATTCTTATATACTTTATATTGATACCTTCAACTAACGCCATCTTTCTAGTCTCGAAATAATCAAAAATTACATAATACCGACTACTGCTCCGGAGGACTGGGAATCCGTCCCATTCTGGGCCTGGCCGGACCCTTAATGAGCTGACTAAAAGAGGCCCTCTCGGTGCCCTCGGGGCGGAGTATAAAAAACGGTAACATTCCGGAATGAAATCCAAAATTCGTTATATTTTTCTGACAAGTTTCTATTACTACAAAGCCGTTTTTATAACGGTTAACTTAATGTACTTTTTGAACTTTTTAGTTCTGTAACGTTCTTATTCTTATTCAACACCTTTGGTTCATATGGAGATTATAGCCTGAAATGCTTTTTCTCCGAGAGACGAATTTATTGATCGCTATGCGACCGAAGAGCCAGCCGTATCTAACGGCTTATACGCGCGCGCGCGCGGGAAAGAGTGCCTTCCGGGAGGACTTTTATGGGGAACTGGCCTCCTATTCAGTCGTTATTGGCAAGGAGAAAACCCGGAAAACTCCTTGCAGTCAGCCTGTCCGATCGTGGCGCGAACCCACGACCGAACTTCCCAGTGTTTAGGGTCTGGTCACCGCAATGAGCGGCAACGGAGACCACTCGCCCACTTCTGTAACGTTTTCCCAGCTCTTACAATAGTTTTGCCTTATACGTCATCGTTCCGAGCTGTTTGCTTCGAAAGCGAACGTATTAATGGTATCGCGTATCGTAAACAAATCTCCTGTTATCCTTCGCTATCGTGTAGGTGCGTTAGTGAAGAAACGCAATGAAAAACCCGTGGTCTATTATCTCGTCTTTTTGCGTGATTTTTGCGATAACGCCTACTGTTACTCGAGACTTTTACCCACACGCACCGTACTCCGAAGCTGGAAATGTGTTGCCAATGTTTCGTAATCGACAAATCAAACGAACGTACGTAATATTGCGCATTTACTTTAATAGTCTACTTTCTCCGTCGTACAGTAGAAGGTATTAGTGTAGTAAACGTAAATTCAACACTTACATCACCGGCCAGTTCTCCGTTGAACGATCTGACCTGACGTTTTG